GGGGGGATTAATTTCGAAATTACGCCCTATTTCCCCTCGAAGGGGAGGGAGCGGGGATGGGAGAGGCGTGCGTGGGCCGGAAGCGCCGCCGGTGCGGTCCCTGCTGGGGGCTGGGGCTTGCGGCCTCCTAGGAGGGTGGTGGAGGGGAGGGAAGATTTTCGTGGTTTCTTCCTCCTTCAGAGGAGGAGAAGAGCTCTTTGGGGGAGCTGTGGGGCTGCTGTATAGCCAAGGCATATTTGCGGGATCCCTCCCTCACGGGGTTGTGCAAATTGGGCCGTGCTTACCTGGTGATTATCAGTGCCCTTATGCTAATGTCCACAATGCAGGCTGCTGTTGGAAGGTTTCATTTGTGGATGGGTTCAGCAATTATGTTGCTGCAGGGCAAGCAAAAATGAAAACACAACAGGAAAGAAAAACATTAATAAATTAGATTAAGTGTAGCGTGAAACTACTCTGTTCTCTTCTTAGTTCAAAGGCTTCGTGCTGGCAGTGCTACTGACGGAAACCCATCTCTTCAGTTAGCACGACCATTTGTGTGTGTGGCCAGCAGGTCTGACTGGAAGATGGATTTGCGACCTAGTTAATTTGGCAGATTTCATTACTTTGTTTTGCAGTGCTCATCTGAGCTAAACTCACCAAGCTGCTTTGCTGCACAGCTGTACAGACATTTGTGCAGCCCTGAGGAAGGGGCATTGGGCAGAACATGGGTCTGCTTCTTTGTGTAATGTAGTTAGCTTTTGATACTGTAGGACTGCTCAAAAGAATTTGTGTACTGCTCTCCAGGCCTGGATTATTCCCTGCTTTTATGGTGTTGAGAGGTTGATTTAAACCTCACTTCTTGTTGACAATTATTACACATGTGGGGTTTTGGTGGGGGTTTTTTGGTGTTTTTTGTTTGTTTGTTTCAAGATTATTCTCTTGGCAAATTTGCTGGGTTGTCTCAATCCCCACCAAGTAGGAAATGTGAGAGCACAGGATGGAAAAGACCACTTAAGTCATGAAGTGTTGTGCTTTGTGATATCTGGAATACCATCAGTGTGTGTTTTGGAAAATTCTGCCAAACCTCTACTCCAAAAGTATAAAACGGTCTCTAAAATTGTAAGCAGACTCCACAAGTGTAATGTTGCAGGAAAGAGCAAAAGTGACCAAGACTTTTCTAGTATTGCAAGTCCTTGCAAGGGCAGGATATCTGTTGAATGTTCAGCAGATCCTGAGAAACATATTATGCCAGATAGCGTGGAAGGATAAAAAGGAACAACAGTAGCCCCTGCTGATCTTCTTGGAGAATAATCTCAGCCAATTCTATGAGGTTTTGCCTAGCACCCCAAATCTGATGGAGTTAGTGGGGTATACCTGCAAAGTCTGCTTCCACTGGATAATCTCTAGTTGTTGCAAGTCTTCTCTGTTTCACAAGCTTCTTTTGAACTGCAGATTTAACAGTGAAACTGTGTATCCAGGCGTAAGGGGAAGTTCACACAGGGACTATGGTTTGTGTAAGGTTAAAGCATCTTGACTGGAGATTGAAAATTTCTTCAACAGAGGTGGTGCTGCTGGAGTCTACGGAACTTAATTTATATGTCCTTTTTAATATAGTATTATCTTTCTTCTAGAAGGTAGCATTTGTTTTAACTGGAAGGAGGGGGTTCTTCCTACTTTTCCAGTGACAACAAATCAACCTGTTGCCATACTTACATAGTACCTACCTTTTGGTCAAAGATACCTGCATTTTATTGAAAATAAGCTAACAACTCCACCTCAAATTACTTTTTGATACCCTTTAGAAGTTACAGTACTGGCCCTTCTAAACTGTTTTGAATGTATCGAGATCTCAAATGTTCATTAGAGACCACATGCTTAAGATATCAAATGTAAATAATGTACAGTATATTTCAAAATAATCCAGGCAAGCTGACCTCAGATAAACACTAATTATTTCTATCATGCTTTTACAGCAGCAGTATCAAAGTGCCCTGTTTTGGGCAGACAAAGTAGCTTCACTTTCTCATGGTAAGTAGTTGCTTTTTACATTGTTTTTCATTAACTTCTTTCTAATAGTGCTCTGTTTTGGTTTTGTTGGGGTTTGGGTGTTCATTTTTTTGTTTGTTGGGTTTTTTGTTATTTCGTTGTTGTTGTGTTTGGTTGTGGTTTTTTAAAGCTCTGAGACTAAATGTTGAAGTTTTGAGTTTGGTGTAAGTGCTTTTCTATCATCTTTGAAATGCCATTTTTTTCCAAATAGAGCAGAGCAAATCTTCCTTCCCTTCTTAACTTAGTGTTAAAATTTATGTTTGGCCAAACTTTAAGGGTTAATATAAGACCTTAAAATAAAAAATAAATAAATTAAAAAAAATGGAGCTATAAGGGGCAATGGTGGTTTCCTACAGGATTCACTGTTGCTCTGGGTGACAAGTGGAATGCAGGTTTACAGAGGGAGTTGATGCTGGTAGCCTATGTCTGCCTCCAGCCATGGTCCATTTACACCTCTTAAAATGATTCTAGGGGCCACAAAAGCTTTGATCACCAATAAAGTATGAGAGTACTAAGCTGTGTTTCTGCAGTCATCACTTAAAGCTGCAGGAGCCTGATGCTTTCACTTGCACTGCTGTTAGTTTCCGACTAGTCTTTTTTGAGAGACAATTCTGGGTTGTTTTGGGTTTTTTTCTATCCTGTGTCCAAGGGCAGGGTAACCTACAACTGCTATTTTTTTTTGTTTTTTAGATCTATGTCACTTTTGTCTCCTTCTCATGACACACCTAGTATGAAAGTCTTTGTTTTAACTGTCCAGTGCACTATCTGATGTCTTTAAAGTTAAACTCTCAGTACTTTTTTCATTTTAATCTCTCACTGATAGATATTATAAGTTGTTTATACATATATACATAGATACATATATAAAATGCAACTTTGTATCTCAATAGGATGGTAGAATAGGGGAAAAATACTTTTCTAGTGAAGCAAAAGTAAATATTCTGTATGCAAGCATTTAAAGATATATTATAAATTAATGGTTTATAATTAGCTCTTTTGTTTCAGAGGAACCACAAGATATCTACTGGTTGGCCCAATGCCTTTACCTAACAGCGCAGTATCATAGGGCAGCACATGCCCTTCGGTCGCGTAAGCTGGATAAGGTAAGTCATTTTAGTCAACGACGTACTACTGTTATTCCACCTTTAAACTTCTGCTGCTAACCACAGTGACTTCTTCGACATCAGAGGGTAAGGCTTATAGGAAAAGTAGTTAAAAAACATGCATGATGTAGTTTATCTGAACAGAATATAGTGCAGTGTTCAGTCAGCCAGATTGAAACTGCTGGCCCCAGATAAGGTCACAGAAGAGAAGGAATCCTATATACCTGTAACTGCAGTAATGGCATCACTTCAGGTGTAGTTGTTCAAGTTGTCCTTCCACTCTGCTAATGAAAGGTAAGGGCAAGAGTGGAGCAAGTTTCCCTTGAGAGTTTAGTAGTAGGGGAAATGCTACAGATTAGTAATTTTGGTCAGGAAAGATTTTTGGAGGTGAAAGGGATGAAGAAGCCATATAACTGAAAAAAGTTGAGAGAAAAATGTAAGTAAACATGCTCTATCTTTGTTACTAATGCGAATGAAACTTCTCTTTCAGTTATATGAAGCGTGTCGCTACCTTGCAGCTAGATGTCATGTGAGTACATGTTTTAACCTCTATTGGAATAAAAGCAAGCTAAATAAAAGATGCATCTTGGGAAGATTAGGTCCCTGACAGGCAATGTCTATGTGCATTGGAGTATTAGGTTTAAATTTTGTGACATTTGATTTTATCCTTTAACTTTCAGTGTGGTGGCTGGAATATCCCTTGTTCTGAAGAAATCCAACTGACTTTTTTTTTTTCCTAGGAAAGAAAATACTCCTCTAATGTTTTTAGGGAAAGAATGTGAACCATTTTTATCTCATGTCTTCATGTTTACATTTTTATTTGGTTGGTTGTAGTCTGACCAGAGAGGAGATGTGATTTATGGTTGTATAACTATAATTAGCCGCTTTATACTTCTGCATAAAATGTGATACATAAGTAGTAAAATGCAGTGCTTTCACAGAACAACTGAAGCAATTGGTAGATTAAATACAGAAATTTGAAATAGAATAATGTGCTGCTTATAGAATAACATGATTGTATTTTATTAAAACCTATATCAACCATTTATAGAAGCATTTCTGCTTCTGTGATTGCATAATGCTGTATAATAGATTCTTCTGTAAGTGTCAATTTTATAATTTTTTGTGTATTATAGATGACTAGTAAAATAGCTGACTGCAATTGTAAAATGACATGTCCAAATAAGAATATGAATGCATGGAAAACCTGCTGATAACCACTGGTTGTTACAGTCTGTGCCTTTGAAATGTGACACTGTGTTTATTGGTGCTTTATGTACAGATGTTTCAAATCCCAACCTTGTTTTTTACATGCACCTGTTTGGCTAGTATGCTGCAAAAGAACATCAACAGGCACTGGATATTCTTGATATGGAAGAGCCAATCAATAAAAGACTTTTCGAAAAGTACTTGAAGGATGAGAGTGGATTGAAAGACTCTACCACAGACTGGGAGATGTCACAATCCTCTGTAAGTGAGGTTTTTTTTAAACAAATATTTTATTTTATGACTAGGAAAGAAATCTGTGAAGTCAGAAAGTGATTTTACAGCTGTATGAATCTGAAACTTCTGTGTTTAAGTTTCCTTTTTGGATAACAATTTTCAATTATGCAATTGTTATTCTTTCCGTTAAGTCATGTGTTAGCTTGTCTGTATGAAAATAACTTGGTTTGCAAAAATGAAGAGTGCTTTTCAACAACTTCCCAGAAATTATTCACAGACACTTTGCAGGAAGTTCATGATCTAGCATTGGTTTTTAGAGTCTTTTAGTTCTATGCTGCAATTTCAGTCTTGATAATGTGAACTAACACCTCTTTCAATTGGATTGCAGGTTCTGAGATAACAAAGCCAGTTTTCTTCTCCAGATATTTTTAATGAAATAGTTCCTTAATCACTCCAGTGTTGTTCTCAGGGGGGGATGTTTTTTGATCACACTTGAAAATTATGTGGTGTGAAGGTGAAGTTTTTGATGCTCAGTGAAAACATTCTCTATGGGCACGCAGTTAAAAGGGATCGGTATCACGTGTAGGCTGAAAAGTCTGTGAAGAGTCTTTACTTTCTGAGTTATGAGTAAGTTTATTAGCTGAAACTAAAGTGGAGGTGATTGACAGATGGCATTTTCCCTGTAAGACTGAAGTAGCAAAATGAGTTCAGTCATCAGCGTGAATGATTTTGAATGATGCTATTAATGGGCTTAAGGGAGAAGTGGATTAGACTGAGTTACTGTGGTGCACCTTAGTGGGGACACTTAAGCTACCACTGCAAGCAAAGGAAGAAGTCCTCAGCTTTGGCTGTTCTTTCTTGCTCCCTGTTCCATGGTACTCTGGCCCAGGTGTTTGGGTGTCTGATTATTGAACTAAATTGAGAAAATATTTTGACTGAAAAATAACAGCCAAAAACCTAATTTCCATCAGTCCTTACCTTCGCAAATGCTTGTGATAACGTTGTTCACTCATGTGAGGATGGGTCTGGTTTGCCAGAGGAGAGAATACTAAAGTGGGTGCTACTGCAGGAAATTTCAAATCAAACTAGAAATGTTGCTTTTTCAAATTTGATTTCAGTAATGTGCACAGACACTAGTTTTGAGAGAAAGAATGACCAGTGTCTGTGCTGGTAACTGTGTTACCACTTGAGGAGCCCCTGGGGGTTTATTAGTTGTTAATGCAGTTATAATGTTTGTAATGTGCGTTGGTCTGTCTGGTTAGCCTGATGGCATAGATGTGTAATGTGGTAACTTTTTCCAAATAACTTGCTGACACTTCTGTGGCCTTCTGGCTGAATTCAACACCCATCTAGGGAGTTTTGAAAGAATGTGTTGGTTATTAGACGTCTTAGCACAACTTTAACTATGGTAATAATCTTTTAGTACTTTTGTTTCTGAAACATCTATGTTTTGGATCGAAAAGACAGATGTATTTTTCTGCTCAAAGTAGTTGAGTCCATTGATTTGGCCTTTTTCACCACTACTGCGGTCCTTCTTGTCTTGCATGAAATATGTGGTAGTCAACAAAAGAAGTGAATTGCCTTTGGAAGTGACAATTTCCCTATTTTGAGTATGAAGAGAATTTAGTATAATTAGTTTACAACTCAATATTGGAGAGCTGGCTACCAGAAGTAGAAAAGATAAAGTCTATCCTCCTCCTTGTTTCAAGCATGTGTTCATTTGGCAGTAGATAACCTGACAGAGCTTTCATTTGATTTTTTTTTTTTTTAAAGATAGTAGAGACAATATTTAAAGACAGCACTAGAAAACCAGGTTCTATCATACATGAAATGCTTTTTACTTTTCAGGGAGCCCATTTGATTTGTGCTCAAAACCAAATTGCAAACATTGATTCAGTCTTTGACCTCCAGCCCTGCTTTTCCACCAGATCAAGAGCTCTATATGCCTTTTGCGAGGGAAGATTTATGATGCTTTGGATAATAGAACCTTAGCAACGTACAGCTACAAAGAGGCCTTGAAGCTTGATGTTTACTGCTTTGAAGCATTTGATCTTTTAACATCGCACCATATGCTGACGGCACAAGAAGGTCTGGATAGCAGTATTTCTCAAATACAAGTAAAATTTAGCTGTTTTCTCAATATGCCTTTTTTCTGCATAAAAACGAAAGCAACACTGCAAATAACAGACTTCAAAATGTTAAGAATAGACAATGTAGGAAATTAGTGAAAATTACTATCGGCTCAAATTTACATTTGAGCTTTATTTTTTAGTCTTGCAGTGCTAAGAATTAGAAGAAGCAGCGTAAGCCAGCTGTCCTGTTTGTTTGCTCCCAAAGCTCCCACACTCTTGGCCCAGCCTAAACAATGTTTTTCCTGTGTTCTCAACTTCACAGGCTTTGAATCCATGAAACCCTACTGGTGTTTGCTTAGTTATAGTAGGCATTGGTTAATGTAGCATCCTGAATGATAAAATTTGACATGTAGAGTAAATAAAAACAGTGGTGTATCATGTCATTTGATTAAATTTTCTGTAGAAGTGTAGAAGGAAAAACTAAGAATTCAATCATAAATTTCCATGATTAGTACTGTTATCTGTTTTAGTGTATCTGTACTGTTCTCTTCCTTGGAGTTTTGGGATGAGCATCATGAAACTCTTAGTGTTGGATCTGACTATTTCTTCTGTAATATGATCATTTTTTTTTCTAATTCACATAGAAAAGGAACTTCTTGACTCTCTGCCTCTTAGTAGACAATGTACAGAAGAAGAACAAGAATTGCTTCACTTTTTGTTTGAGAATAAATTGAAAAAGGTAAACCTCAAAAATTACTAAAAAGCTGGAGAACTGATTGAAAGTCCTGACTTCAGGTGTAAATTTTCTTGGATTCCATTTATTCTGAATATAGGAATAAATAAGGGCTTTGTAATTTTGGTTATTTTAAAGTTTAAGATGCAATAGATATCATGGGGGGAAGTATAAAAGTTTTATGTAAACTTATTTTCTGGTATGGTGACAACTTGAAATTCTGATATATTTTTTTCTAGCATTTATTTCTTGAGAAACTTTTAGGTGGGGAAAAAGAACATTAATAATGTAGGCAAAATGTCAGTTACCTGAAAATGCTTTCATGTTGTAAATGAGCTTTTAAGTACATTATAAAGAACCATCTTACCAAATACATGTTTTATGGACATAGTTTAAAACTAAGAATTTTAAGAAACTTAATGCTTCCTAAATATTCTTTTAGAACTAAAACTGTCAATCTGGTTTGTAGTTTGGTTGTTGTTTCACATGTTGTTTGTTTTGTCTTTCAGTATAATAAACCCAGTGAAACACTGGTTCCTGAATCAGTAGATGGTCTTCAGGAAAACCTGGATGTGGTAGTGTCCTTAGCTGAAAGGCATTATTATAACTGTGATTTCAAAATGTGTTACAAGCTTACTTCAGTGTAAGTATACAAAGCAACTTTGAGGGCTTTTTCTCATATAGTGAAGTGTAATAATTAACCCTGGACTTACAGCAATTATCATTGTTCAATGGACTGACAAACATAACAATTTGATTAAAAGTTTCAGGTATTTAAAATGTGTGGTTTGTGTCTAGCAAGACACATTATTTTTTAGGGTATGTAGCAGACGTATCCAAAGCAAAGTTCTGGTTAAATCAGCATTGTGCTGCATTTCCCTTCATCCATCCTTCTTCCTTACTCTGGAACCTTCACTTTTTTACTTTGTTTGGCCTTCAGAACAAATGGGTTTGGATCTGTTGGTTAGTTAGGAAGTATGATTTCTCTGGCTGATTAGAAGTTATGCTAATTTTGGTGTGCCAAGTATTGCATCTCAGTTGTTACACAGCCCAGGCATATACTGCTGCTCAGTTGTCAAATGGGTCAGAACAACGACATGGATTGCTTCTCAGCTATTGTAAATATGAACATGTGGTTGTGGAGCTATTTTTTTTTCTGCTGGCCTGACAACTACCTGTTCAAGAAAAAGGTATTTTTGTGTATATAATGCATAGTCTCAGAATATTAGTAATATAAAATAGAAAGTTTTTTTTGTTTCGGATTTTTTTTAATAGTACAGCTTTTTCTTAGCTGAAGCAAGCCATCACTGTGTAGATTATCCCATGGAGCCCAGTACAGGCAAGATTTTTGGGAAGACCAAAGAGAATTTTGTCAGTTAAGGTGAATTTAAACATCTGAGTGAAATCATGATCCTGTTGAAATAAATAACTCCAATTAAATCATTAAAATTACACTACTGCATTTTTGTTTCTGAAACTTAATTGCCACACCTTGTCTAGCAGAAAGTGGCAGGAGTAAATGTCTCCTGAGGAGGAGACTATCTCAGATCCTAGAGCTTGGAAATGAAAGCCTGAGGAGTCTATATAACTTCAAAGTTTTACACTCCCTTCAAGAGAGCAATTAGTATACTTGTTTATGTATTCTTTTATACTTTTCATTTGAAATACTTTGAACTATTTAAAAATGTCAACTAAACTTTAAATTATTTCAAGATGTACTTCTTACAGAATGGCGCCATAATGTTGTACTTCTGATTTAAGAGATTATGTGAATAGATTTTAAGATGACATCTTTGTCTCCTAGTTCACCAAATGCTTACAAAAAGGGCATATGCCTACAAGCCATGTCCTGCATGCAGTCTGTTGTCTGTGAGATTGTCTTCCATTTCTAAATACCACAGGAAGTAAAAATTTAAGACAGCTAAATATATTTCCTAAGGCCTACTGCTAGGTGTTAAGCTCAGAAAGTTGAAGGCTTTTGCTTGAAAGTTGCTGTCAAATGTATGAAAAAGATGAACAGAAATGTTGTTGCTTGCTGTTTGCTGGTTAAATTTGAAGTGACCTGCAAACAAATGTGCATTGTATTCTGTTTATTTAATTGCGTATTCAGCTTGCCAGAATTTTCTGTTGTCTTATTTTATTAAGCTAAATGAGTAGTTGTTTTTCTGATCTAAAGATAGCCTTTATTATGCTGTTAATAGTTACCTTCTAATCACAAATAGTTTTCCAGTGTCTGAAGTGATAATTAACTGGAATACTACATACTATAAAAGCAGCTTGCTTATAACACATGAAAATTTTTATAATGTGCATTGCAGATTTTTTATTTTTTACTTTTTTTTTTTAGAGTGATGGAAAAGGATCCTTTCCATGCAAATTGTTTACCTGTGCATATAGGGACACTTGTGGAGCTTAATAAAGCAAATGGTAAGAAACACAACATTTAATATGAGTTAAATGTAGATTGCAAAGCTTCAATTTTAAAAAGAATTAAGGATGCCAAGAAATCCCCTTATACACAGTTTAAAAAATTATTTTTTTTTTCCTCCTACCTACACTTTCAAGAAAACGGTGGTAACTGGAAAAGGAGTTTCAGAACTGGCAGGGGGGAAGCAGTTGTGCAAAGAGTCTTTATTCATTCCCGATCATGAGCATCACTGTCTTTTAACCACTGTGCTGTGTAGCCAGAAGTTAGCAAGCTGCACTGCTTCATTTCTGTTCTTTGATTTCTATTTTGAGGTGATCTTCCTCTTTTTAGTTCAAACAAGTTAACAAGAACAGCTTACTTGCAGCTGGGAGAGCTTTTTCACATTTGAGGCTGCATATAAACATTCAAATCAAGTGAGGAGCTTGAATGTCTTTAAAACCAATTAGCAAATAGAGCAAGGAGCTCATATGATTTGCAGTCTCTCAAAGGATGGTGCACTGTACGTACAAAAATAGGTCATTAGGTGTACTAGTACTTCTCAATGTTTAGTTAATGTTCTTTTCAGATCCTTTACAGTTAACTAGATCTGAAAATATGGCCAGTACTCTGATTTTTCTTCTAAGTCTTCCTTGAGAAGCATTTTGTAAATAAGATGGTATTTTGTAAGCCAGTTTTCATATTTGAATTTTTCTGAAGCCGAGAGTTTGATGTGAAGTACTTCAGGACAAACTCATCAATTTAAGAGCACTGTACTCTGAAAAAATAGAAATTTTATGTACTGTAATGCTTTTCCTTTGAAACTGCATAGGCAATAGAACTGTTATCCTGTATCTGATTACTTTGTCTGCTATCAGAAAATCTGCAGTAAGTTATTCTAGTTACTAGAATTATTTTTATTAGAAAAGTAATCACTTAGAACTATTCCAAGTAATATAATAATTTATTTGCTTTTGTCCAATTTTTAACATATTAATGCACAGGACTCTACTTTGAAATTGATTAGCCAGCATGTTATACCTTTCAGATGTAGGAAGTTCCATAGTGTTTTACCTTTACAAGATACACTCAAGTGTAATAATACAGGCATTTATTTTAATGTATGTTAAGGACTTAAGCTGTTGCAGAATTCTTAAGGAGTGGGATGTATAGTTGCTTATTTTTGTGCTGTGAAGACTTATGGGTTTGGTTTCTTGTTTAGTTATTTACAAAACTGAATCTATTTTGAGGCAGTTTGAAGCATAACCACTAAACAGAAAACAGTTTTGTTCACTTGTGCATTAGTAACATCAGATGTTCTGGATATTTTGTATAGGAAACTAAAATGCTTGAAATATCTCAATGCTTTAGCACGTTTTAATTTTCTTTTGTTGTTTCTTCCCACTATGTAGAGCTTTTCTATCTTTCTCACAAACTGGTGGACTTGTACCCAAATAATCCTGTAAGTTGTTCTAAGCCTTCATTGCCAGGTAGTTTTTTCGAAGTGAAAGCACATAAAAGTTGCAATGTAATAGTCACTTTGAGCAACAGAACTCAAAATCTTTTTCTGGATGGAGCTAGTAAAAATGGTTTGCTCCTTTTCGTTGTTATGCATTGTAATTTTCTTAGGTTCTTTTCTTAAAAATAATTTAAAAATTACCTGTAAAATATATGCAATATGACATATTCACTCTGAGTAATAACTTAAATGCTAGAGTAATAAATGTCTGTGCTTCTCTGGGCAACCTTTTCCAATGTTTGATCACCTTCATAGCGAAAATTGTTTTCCTTTTACTCAATCTTTCTCCTGTTGCAACTTGTACCCATTTCCTCCAATCCTATCATTGCACATCTGAGAAGAGTCTGGCTCTGTCTTCTGTATTCCCTACCATTCAATAACTGGAGACAGCAACAAGCTTTCCACATAGCCCTCTCTTCATGAGGCTGACAAACCCAGTTAGAGCTGTACGTGCCAGCAGTTCTGCCTTGTCTGTAATACCAAATAATTTGACAGGCTGACTGCGATTTCAGTGAAAATGTTTCTAACTTCTCTAATTATGATCTGTTCCTCTGTTTCACATCACCTATGGTGATATTTCACTAAAATCAGCATGACACATCTATTACTATTCTCTTTTGGTTTTAATGTGTAGGTGTCATGGTTTGCAGTAGGATGCTACTATCTCATGGTTGGCCACAAAAATGAACATGCCAGAAGATATCTCAGGTAAAATATTTTTTCCAGTTTTCCTTATTGAATCTGTTGCTCACTTGCTCAGTAATTATTTTAAGTTCAAGATTGTAAGCTCATAAAGTCAACAAAAGCCTCGATTAACTGGTTACTACTAAAATACTCCTTTTGTTGACACCCTTTTTTCGTGTAGCAATTTAGACCTCAACCATCTAGATACTTTAAAACTGACATCCAGGCTTACTTGGAGTCACTTCCGTTATGGGCAGGTGTAATGACTGCATTTGGTCATGCTGCCAAGCTAACTACAGCTGGGTAATCAAACCTCGGTTCTCAGAATTTTAGATTCAGTTTTTTTGTAAGGACTTCAACACTCTATTTCATGGTATCAAAATGATAAGATGTTTTGTTACAGTTTTCGGCTAATGCTGGTATGTGATGATAAAGGCCTTTAGAAGATAGGCCTTGAGATAAACAGGTACAGAGGGTGTGGGGAAGCGGAAACCCAGGGCTGTTGTCTCCAAGGTGACCCCAGGCTGACCAATTAATAATATTCATACCATAAATGTTACATTCACTATGAACTGGGGAGTTTGCCAGGGACAGCCCTTCTTCCTTCTTCCATGGTTGTCATCTCAACAGCAACTTGTCTACTGGCCTACCCCTGAGGCCTACCCTTCCACAATATTTTCTGAGTATATCTGTGTACTTTACATTAATACTGTTATTAATATTAGTTTTTTATTATTACTGTTATTAAATCTATTTCAACACACAGATTTCCTTTCCTTTTTCCCAATTCTTCTCCCCAGGTGGGGAGGAGTCATTGGGTGATAGAACAACTGTATAAACCATGACAATATATAAAGATGGGTTAGTAATTTAATAATTCCTTTTTTTTTTTGTCCATGGATAGCAACAGCAATAATATAATGAATTCTTGAATATATGCTATACTTTTAGCGCTAAATAATCTGAACTTTTAAAATTAACCTTGTTTACCACTGGTCATTACAGAAGATTATCTTAATACATACCTAAGTGGCATAGCATTGCTATGTAGGTAGTCATCTGAAACAGATGAAATTTAATTTCAGATGTGTTTGTGACTTGCTTTTTGTTTTTAGCAAAGCGACTACACTTGAGAGAACCTATGGACCAGCATGGATAGCATATGGACATTCATTTGCAGTTGAGAGTGAGCATGACCAAGCGATGGCTGCATACTTCACAGCTGCACAGCTCATGAAAGGGTATGTCAAAAATGTCATATTTGGTAAAACTGAAATTAATCCATAAATAGTGTAGAATATTGACCTACCTCTCTTTAAACAGTAGGAATACATTCGCAACAATCATCTGCTACAGAAAAAAGGAGAAGAAACCCCAAATAATCTAATAATCTGCATTTAACTGAATTATTTGTGATTACTGTCGTGATTTTATAAGTTCTACAGTTAAGATTTATATTTATTGTAATCTGTTCTACCTGGAAGTTCTCTGAAATTTGTGAATAGTGTTCATAAACTGCTGAAATAGCTCATAAATCAGGTCATAAACTGCTGTATAGTTGTATCTTGAACAGCTCTTTCATGCTGTGGAGAAGGTTGTAAAATGAGTAGCGAACAAATAATGTCATATTGCATATAAAACTACTCTATTTTATTGTAGTGATTGGTAAATGTGTTCCCTTTAGTTATTACTTCTTCTGTAGTCTGTAAATGAAATGTATGAAGGAAACTAAGGAAAAAAGCCCTCAGAACTAAATTAAGTACTGAGAAAATAGTTGTAGTTCTGGAGCAGGTTACACTTATGTATTGGAGTTCAAATTCTTGTCAATAACTAACAAAGATGTAAAGTCTTTTAAACTGCTCTTTAGGTTAATAGTCCGTTTAAATCAGCTTTTGCTTGGGTGTAAATAAACATATGCAAACACAGTTGGCATTTTGTTATAATTTGTGACACCGTTCCTGATAAGTGTATGTTTAGTTTTGTGTCATGTTGGTTTTCTTTCCAGATGTCATTTGCCAATGCTCTATATTGGACTGGAATATGGTTTGACCAACAACTCCAAGTTAGCTGAAAGGTTTTTCAGCCAAGCTTTAAGCATTGCACCTGAAGATCCTTTTGTTATGCACGAAGTTGGAGTGGTTGCATTTCAAAATGGAGAGTAAGCTTGCAAAATAGGATTAAAGACATGAATTATTCTGAAGTGTAATGTGCCTATATATCTACGAGAATACATTGAACTGTACAAGGTTTCTCTTGGCTCTAGTTTAGATGGTGTTTACCCTAAACTTTTGCTTTCTCCATCATTTTTCGTTGCTTAAGATTAAACAAGGAAATAATTTAAAGCTTAAGGAACATGCAGAGATTGATTACCATCTTTTGCATGCCTGTCATTGGGTAGTTGCATGCCTTGAAAAGGCCTCTGTCTGCACAGACAACTTCACACATGCTATAATATTTTGTACAGCAAATAATTTTGTCTGCCCAAGAGGTTCCAAAAATATTCTGAAAAAAACCTAACAGAGAAAAACTGTTTAATGAATACTCTTGGTTTGCTTCTGATTTTTTAATTTTATTTTGTTAGCTCTTAGGAGCACATGCAAAATATAACCAAATGTAAATTATTGTTTTTTACACCTAATTTCACTCTTATGATGAAATAATGTCAAAGAACTGTCCTTGTCATACAGTTTTCTCATACTGCTAATAAAAACGCTCCACTAATTTAATTTTCTTTTCCCCTACCCCCCCAATTCTTAGCTGGAAAACTGCGGAAAAGTGGTTCCTTGATGCACTGGAAAAAATCAAAGCTATTGGAAATGAGGTATTTTTCCTCATATTATTATTCCTTATATTATTATATGCGGGATCATAAAAATGTAAAACTCCAAGAAATTCTGTAATATCTTTTGTCAAAATATATTGTGCTTATTTTAAGACAGAAGCAATACAATATAAATATGACTTTAAAACTTGGGGCATCTACTTGTAATTGAGTATGTTGGGTTTTTAGATGAGAATCATCACACGTTATCTTCAGAACTATAGGAAAAGGGAAAAAGTATGTTTCTGTATGAGATTAAAAGAAAGTAAGTGTTGACTGGGGAGTGCAATCCAGGTGTAGGTCCCACTCTTGGGTCTTCGTAGACCAATAGTTCTTGACCCGAGGGTGTCACCTGAAGTGTCAGCCATTTCTTGAATGACACCCACTGTTGTCTGGACAGAATCCAGTAGGTACGGATTTCTTTTCTTTCTACCAGATAGAGCCACTGTATGGAAATAGGCCCAGGGATGCTTCAGTAACTTCCTGAAAGTAATCAAAATAATCACTGGCAAAAACTTTCCTGACAAAGTTCAGGTGCTGAACTTAGTTCAGGATGATGGAGAAGATGGCAAAAAGACTTTCAGTATTCATGATTATTTCACAAACACGTACTCTGGGGGGGGTCTTCATTGCTCCTAGGCTGAGAGACTTGACATCATTGTTAGTTAAGTGGAAAGCAACTTTTTTTGTTTGCTTCCATGTTTTACTATCACTGACCCTTTAAAGAAATTTATTTGGTTTAGGGAATAGTAAAGTTAGAAAAATGAGTTCTTGAATAAATGTTTTGAGCTTAAATATGTCTTTTGAAAAGAACTGATAATGCTTGTGATTTTATTTTTTTTTTATCATGAACAAATTGGCTTCTTCATGGTTTTTTTTTAAGTATATAAAATTCAGGTACGATCTGGGAAGCTGCAGTTATTTGAATTGTTGCATATTTTGCAGGTAACAGTTGATAAGTGGGAGCCTTTATTGAACAACCTGGGACATGTCTGCAGAAAACTAAAGTAAGCAGAGACACAAAACACAAATGTGTTTTCTCTATGCCTATTTTCATTTCTATCGGGATTATATACTACATGAGAGCAGCGTAGAAGCAACTTGTAAGAATGACATTCCATAAATCAGCTTGTGAATTTGAATATATTAATCACCCCTTATATCCAGTTTACTACACACAAGTTCAAGTAATTAATGTAAAAGCTTTTCCTTAACTATTGATTCTTACTGGATAGAAATTTGGTCTTAGAATGTAGACGCATACAAGGCTCTAAAAGCCTAACTTGCTACTGTCCCAGTCCTGGCATACTTGAATATGTCCACTGATTTAATTAACATAAAGGTGGTTTTGTGCCAATTAAGGGTTTGGATCAGTGCTTATGATTTTTTAACTGAACCGAAATATTTAGTGAGATTACCACAGCAATAAAATACTCCTTTATGGTTTTTGAGAACAGAACTAGTTCATATTTCCATTTTAGGAAGAAAAGAAGAAGGTGCAAAGTACATATGCAAGCCTCAACAGTTTTAACGTAGAGAAATGTTTTCTCATTAATTACCTTAATCTGATTTTAACCTGTACTTTCTTTTGTTTAATCAGTACTGTGCCTTTCTTTTCAGTGTTGTGGTTTTAATTCTGCAACTGGTGTATGCTGTAATTTTTGTTTCAAAGCTGCAAATGAGAGTGTGATTGTGGTAGATACAAGTTGTACTTCTGCTTTGGCTTTGGTAGCGATTGCTTTGTGCTTGAATTGCCAATTAGTCTTCATTATGAAATACGGATGTGTAATAGTTACCCCTTTTTGCCAAGATCAAACAAAAGGCACTGCTTCTGGACTCTATTCATGAGTATAATTGCAGGGTTTTTTCAAATTCTTGTTTCAGTTATAACTCCTTTTGTCTTTTTTTAATTTCTACATTAAGTTAGTAACTGCTTACATCACACTTAAGACAACTTGGATTATATTATTTGTTCAGGTTCAGAAAGCCAACCTAATGTATTTTTATGTCCTTGTAAACCATCGTTCAAGGAAATCTCGTTGAGAATTCAGGCAGCTGTACATATGCTTTGACAACTTAAATTCTGTAATTGCTAATTTACTGGTGTTCATAATATGTGCCATTGCTATTACGGAAAAAGCTTACTGGATGTATGTCTTACTAGCATTATGTGGTTGGAATTTGAAAGCAGCATATTCAAATATGTGGTAGTTAATTGGACAGGTAAGTATTACGTGTGAAAATAAAATTCAAATCACAGGAAAGTGTGCAGCAAGCAAACAGTTTCATAATTTTTCTGCCTCAGTTGTTACTTAATGCCCTCTTAACAGCTTCATGTGTTGCTGTTTGCATAATTTCATTATAAATACAGTCATTACCATTTCTTCTTAATAGAAAGTTGCTATCTTCAACAACTTGATAGTAGGATGTCAAATGTGACAGTTTAATTTCTCAGATTAATGCCATAATGTACATTTAGTCTGTTTTACAAAATAAATGCAATAAGCAGTCTAATTAACAGATAATTTTCAAAGAAAGGGTGGCTGGTATTTGAAAGAAGTTACGGATATGTGTAAACCTTTTCTGATAGAGGAGGTGGCAAAACAGTATGAAGCACTTCTGGGTTGTGAAATTTCTGCCCAGAGAGCATTTCTCACTTTGAACAATGAACAATTTAGTCTCTTATCCCTCCTTCACTCTCGTGGGGAGGAAAATGAAAGCTTCAGAAAGCAAACTAATGTTACAGTGAGCAGCATTAAACATCTAAAGCAACTTGCAGCATCAGATTGCGAAGATCATCTCCAAATGAGGCCTAGCTGTAGGCAGCTGTTGTGCTGCTGAAGGGGTACAGTGATTTCTCGATTACATTGAAGAAGAAAATTGTCAATTTCCATGAGTCTTTTGTGTGTTCGAGTCTATTCAGAGGACGAAGCAATAATTTTTAAGTTCTTGCGGGATTGCGTGCCACTGAGCTAAGGAAAATACCGATACAATACTACAAAAACACCTTTCACCCTGAAGCTTACTAATAGATCTCCTGTGTTTAACCCTAACAGGAAATATGAAGAAGCACTGGAATACCATCGCCAGGCTCTAGTACTAATTCCTCAAAATGCTTCTACTTACTCTGCCATTGGCTACATCCATAGTCTAATGGGCAATTTTGAAAGTGCAATTGACTATTTTCATACGGTATGTAACTGGCTTAAATTAACGCGCTAGCCACAGATTCTGCTATTTTGCTGTTTCGTTCTGGTTTGGTTTTGGAACAGAGAACCAACATTTTATCCATCCCCCAGATTAGTCTTTATTTTATCATCTTGATTTTTTTTTTAATCTTCCTAACTTTTTTATTGATTAAGTTAAAAAATGACCACTTTGTGAAACTTAGTACTTAGACCCTACATTGTCATAAATTAATTGAATATCATAATTATTGTACACATTTTATGAACATAAACTTCTCACGTAGCAGAAATTATTTAAAATACTTCCAAACTATGCCTTGAAGTAGAAATTTTACAGTAAGTGCAACATACGTTTTACTTCATGACTTTTGAATGATTATCTGTCTGCATATACTTTTCTGGTTTTGTTTTTGTGTTTTGCCTACTATTGCAGTCAGTTCCTGTGAGGATTTTATTTTGTTTGACTATGCTCTGGTAGCATTGTTGAGCAACAAAACAACAAACTTGGCACCATGGTAGACTTAAGATGTAAATGGTTGTATTTTCTACTGAATACTTTTTCATGGTTTGTTTTGTTTTGTTTTGTTTTTAATAGGCCCTTGGTCTTAGGAGGGATGACACATTTTCAGTCACAATGCTCGGGCATTGCATAGAAATGTATATTGGTGATTCTGAAGCCTATATTGGTAAGTCTTGCACTTATGTGACTCTTAAAGTCATCAAGTCCTTTGAGAAGAGTCTTTTTCTTACATCAGGGAAGACTGTCTACCATTACGTAGTTACGTTACAAAGTAGAATATGTTTTGATTTTATTTTTTCTGTTGTTTTTGTTTGCGTTTTTTTTATAAATGGCTAAATGAGTCAGAATGTAACCAACAATTGAATGACCACTGGTTTTTGTAAGCATCACGACAGTAAATTCTTACCAGTATAAAGAAAGGAGACAATTTGCCATTGGAGGTGGTAATGGTTTCTTTTGTAAAGAATATTGATTTGTGGCAGCTTAGAAACCAATGGGAACGGGGAAAAAATAAAGTAGAAATACGGAGTTAGAAAATCAGAGGATTTGATTTCAGCTAATGCTGCTGTAGAAAGATACGGGCAAGGCATTTTCACCGGGTCAGAATTCTGGTCTGTGAAGACAGTATAAATTCCTCAGCCTCCAAAAATAGAGCTTTACATGTAACACATTATATTGCCATAGTCTGAAATATTCTATGAAAGCTTTCTGCCCCCAAAAAAGAAACTTTATAATGACATATTTCTCCTTCATTGAACTTAGTGATTTGTCTGTAATGAACACAGTTGATGTCCTATCAAGTACGTTAAGGAGGCTGAAGCCAGTAAAAGCCATCTGTGTGCTCTGTTGCTTTTCCTGCAGATTTTTGCACAATTGAAGCAGATGTTTCTTCTCAGTATTGTCTTGCTCCATATGTAGGCAGTTAACACATCTGGAAGAACCACGCAGCTGTGTGATGTGCACTTATACAGACCATGCTGTGCGTAACTTAAACAAGAAAAGCCTCTTAGAGAAGTAGGAAAGGAATTGGCAGTTATTTCTAATAACAGACTTTTGAATCAGAGTTGTACTTTTTATACCATGCTTCTTTCAAAAAGGAGGCTGCTGGATTTTTTCAGAAAGTATCTATTTGACTTCAGTCATTAAGCAGTGACAGTTCCCTGTCAGTCTGAAAGCAGAAAATCATCGTTGTTTCTGGATGCTAGTTTTTGAGGTACATTTTTTGGGAGTGTTCATTTGGAATAAACTAACGGTTTGACTGTTTTCCTAGGAACAGATATCAAAGACAAATTAAGATGTTATGACTTTGATGTACACACAATGAAGACATTGAAGAACATAATCTCACCTCCTTGGGATTTCAGAGAATTCGACATAGAAAGACAAACTCTGGATGAAAGTGGCATAGTAACATTAGAGACATCACAGCAGAGGAAAAGTATAGATACCAGTCGCCCACTGGAAGAAACATTTGAGATTGAAATGAACGAAAGTGATATGATGTTAGAAACATCAATGTCAGACCATAGTACGTGACCAAAAATGCTGCTCATTTTGTCTAAGTGTAATATGTTTGTTTTAGCATTTTTGTTATGGTGTTATACTTTCAAGAATTTGCTATTTTTATATGAATTCAAGCTACTACTCTGTACGTAACACCAGAGAAATAATGCTTGCCTTAAGGATGTTTAAAAAGTATACATGATGGACTATTTCTACAACATCAGTCATACATGAAGAAGTGAAAAATAAATCCACTTTTTTTTAAACTGTTTACCGATCCATGTGTCTGCTGTCAGTAAGACTGTGAAGGTTTAAAAATAGTACTTGGAACCGTTTACAATGTTGTTAAATTGAATAGCCAGTCTAATATAGTAGTATTGTGGCTTCTGAGTTTTCATCCTGTCTGTGAGGAATGCTTTCTTAGTAAACAGACAAAAAATATCCATGATGTTTTATACTTACTACTTTATAAATATGTATTCCTTTAAGGAGCAGTTTCAGTGGTTTTCCATCATTTGACTAATTTGGCACACACTAAATTGGTGACAAAGTGTTACTTTGTTATACTTTCTCCTAGTTACTAATTTCAGTTCTTTGTATTGTATTAAGGAAAGATCACTTAAGTACTGGTTTTTGTAAGCTGATTAGATGAACGATGTAAATATTGAGGTGGATCAGTCCTACCTTAGCATTACAGTAAAGTTGTAAGCCAGTCTACTGCTGTAGGGACTGCAGTCATTCTCTTTACACACAGTTGTTTTGTCAGTGCAAAGAATTAACTGAATAATATACATACACAGTTATTTTCAAGTCTCTAAAGTGTGGTATTTTTAAATGTCATTGGTTCACTGAAAAATGTAGTAGTAAAGTATATGAAACAGCAGCAAGTGATTTGTCCATCCACTGACCAGAACAGGTCTGTTTGCCTTCCTAGTATGAATGTTGAGTGTATTTTGTGTAAATTCTTCCCTTCTCTTCTTGCCTCTTTCACAATATGTCACTGTGTGGGGCTTGAAATTAAAAACTCAATACTACAAGCCATCATAGTTTTTCCTTCTGTGACTTCTAGCTAAGTTTTGGCATTTAATGTTTAGATGTTTAGCAGTCCCGACTTTAGTGTGAAGAACTGATGAACGATCAGCTTTTCTGTGGACAAAGATTTTTCATGAAATACAAAACAACATAAAATAATTGGTCTAAAATGTGATTCCTATGCTGCTGTATCTCAGTACATTTGTGTTAACATTTAAACATGTGTTTTCAATTATACTTTCAGCATAAAATGTATATGCTGGGTTATTGTGATACAATTTTCATCCACTTTATTGGGGCAAGGTATAAAAAAAACCTGACACATTAATGTGATTCATGAAATACTTCTTATACACTTTTTTGCGTACTTATGTAACTAAGAAGAGACAAGGGATGAATGCAAGTTGAAACCTTGCTGCCATTTTTGCTTTTCAGCAGTCCATCTTTCTTGATTAGTGGTCCTTTACCTTTAAGACAGACAATGTTTACTTTTAATTTTACCAATGAATGCATATCAGAGGATGGGCTGATACTGTAAACTTCTGAGTGTTGGGGGGTTTTTTTTAATTTGTATAATGTTTTACATAAATTGGAAAATATAAACTACTACTTCTCATCCCACTACATCTGTCTCATGGCTCACTGAGTCCTAAGGACTATATAGTGCATAGAAACCACTACTTGGAAGAAATTGCTAGGTGGGAAGGCCTTCATTTATCCCAGGACTCTCAGTAGTCTGAGATAACTGCTAGTGATAAAAAAAATGCTAATTTTCCTTTTCTCTTTGTTTTGCTGTGCTGCTCAGACAGACTTTTGCTGTGATTCCTTATGTCTTCATTCTTTGGCTCTTTTCCTGATAGCACTCTCATGAATCGCTGTCTGAATCAGGGAGACTTCATCGTATCAATGCAGGACATATACATAGTTTGAATCTAGGGTATTGGCTGTTTTCCACATGTCTTTTCATTACTGAATACAATTGAATTTCTAGACACACCTGCACTTTAAAATTCAAGGGTATCATGTGAGGAAAAGCTAGGGCAAGAGCCTGTGCTTTAACAGGAATTGCACACACTCTTGCTGTTGAAACTTGGTTGAGTCCAGGAGACCCCCTTGCTTTCCTATGAATACCAACACAGTATTGTAGAGAAGTCCAGTCCCATCCCAGTGACAGTGCTCCACAGAGAGGATTATGGATACCCATGTTACCATGCATGTTCTCCTGAAAAAGATAGGATGAGCCATGAGTCTTCAGTGGCAAAGTCTTAATCCAAGCAGAGTGTGGGAAACATGAATCATTCAGGAAGCATACACATCTCCTGGCCAGCAATGGGTCTCCTTCAGCATGGCTGGCTAGAAAGTTTATACAGAGGGTTTTCTTTCTTTACTATCTGGTAGTTTGTGTGTTGTTCAGGTGACTTCTTACGTTTGAGGTAAACTGGGATTTTTCCTGGGCATACTAGAACACTTTGGCTAGTTAAGATTCTAAGAAGTGTGTCTCAACAGTACTGTGTACGCAAATCTCATCCTTTAAAGGATCTTTTGGTAGTTATTTTTACATTTGTGCTGATGTATCCTGAATGATTGTAATTAAGAAGACCATCTCATGCATAGAGAGAGCAAAGGCTTTTTGCTGCACACAGAGTAGCCAGAACACTATTGCTTGTAAGTTCTCAAAGATCTGAACTCGTTTTTCTCTATAACATTTTCTATTTTAATTCAACAAAGGTAACTCTAGTTTTCTGTTAAGACATTGTGGCAATTTCTGCACTGAAGTTGGCAAAAGTCTTGCGAATCAGGCCTTTTGTCTAATGTCAGGCATGGATGTAAGCCTTGGGCTGTTTCCTTTTTTATTAATGTTACTACTATTTTGACAAAATCATTTAAAAGATTGGTAAAAGTTAATATTTCTTCCTGCATTCTTCAGTTATGATCCGATATGTCAGCTCTGATGAGAATACTGGCATAGTCCTGCCTGTAGGAATCTGCTTATCCCCGTTTTTCATTACCACAACCTTCCTTAATTGTAATACCTATGTTTGTGATTGTGCAAATCAGAGATCTGGGCCAGCATTTAAAAATCTTTTCTCTATCTGATCAGTTCTCAGATTCAGAGACAGCAAACCACTGCTGTGTGAGTGTCATCAGTGGGGCAGAGTGGTAGCAGTGGGAAAAAACGGGTGTAATAGCAAGCACAGTCTTTGCTATAAAGGCAGTGAATCACGACACCGCGCCTTGGCAGGTTTCTGCTGGAGGTCTTTTGGCTGGCTGTTGCTGGGTTTCATTAAAAGTTACCTAGAAAGAAACATATGCAAAGTGCTCTAGACTGTGAATCGCTCTTCCTGGATGTCAGAGGAATTCTTGATATGGCTGGGCACGGCTCCCAGCCCTTGAGGCAGCTACAATTAGGTTAGAGCTTGTGAGCTGGTTGATGATGTGCATTTCTCAGACAGGACTTCAGAGAAAGTTTCTCTCTCCTCATTTCTCTTCTGTTCAATGTTTTGATCTGCTCCAGTTCTGTCCAAATCCTTGACTTTCCACCAGCAGCCACCAGCAGCTCTTCTGCACTTCCCAGAATCTGTCCTGCACCAGTCCTGCTCTTGCCTGGATTCTGCTGCCTAGATAGTGTTTGGTGCTTTTCTGGGTTATTGTGACATTCTGATTTTCACCCTGGCTCTAGTTAAATTTAATATTGTCCTTGTCCTCATAATGATCTGTGGTTATTAATTTTTGCCTGACTCAGGTTTCTGACTTCTGCTTCAAGTCATTGGCTCAGTGGGCTTTGGCTGCATGGTACAAGGGTCTAGGACTCTGTCAGTTTATCAACATGTCCCCAAAAGAGACATCCTCACTTGATCACATAACTTGATCTCTTGCAAGAATCTCTTGCTGCTTGACAGCCAGATGAACATGAGCCAGCAGTGTGCACAGTTGGCCAAGAAGGCCAACAGCATCCTGGCCTGTATCAGAAATAGTGTGGCCAGGAGGAGCAGGGAAGTGAACCTTACTCTACTTCGCAGTGGTGAGGTTGCACGTCGAGTACTGTGTTCAGTTTTGGGCCCCTCACTACAGGAAGGACATTGAGGTGCTGGAGCACGTCCAGAGAAAAGCAATGAAGCTGGTGAGGAGTCTGGATCACAAGTCTTATGAGGAGCAGCTGAGGGAGCTGAGGTTGTTTAGTCTGGACGAGACTGAAGGGAGGCCTTATCACTCTGCAACTACCTGAAAGGAGGTTGTAGAGAGGTGGGTGTTGATATCTTCTCACATGTAACTAGTGATAGGACAAGAGGAAATGGCCTCAAGTTGTACCAGGGGAGGTTTAAATTGGGTATTAGGAAAAATTTATTTACTAAAAGAGTGGCCAAACATTGGAACAGGCTGCCCAGGGAGGCAGTGGAGTCACAATCCCTGGAGCTGTTCAAAAAGCGTGTAGATGTGGCACTTCAGGACATGGTTCAGTGGGCATGGTGGTGTTGGGTTGATGGTTGGACTTGATGATCTTAGAGGCCTTTTCCAACCTTAATGATTCTATGACATTTCTTTGTCTTCTCCTCCTCACCGGCACAGCGGTGACCTTCAAGGGTTCCTCAAAGCGCCTCTCCCCGCCACCAGGGAAAACGGCCATGGGGACCGCAGCAACCTCGACGGCTGCCGGATAGGACAGAGGACCCCACTCCCCCACCCTCCCCCATAGCGAAGCCTCGCGAGATTCCGCCGGGCCACCGGCCAGTTCTCGCGAGGTTTCCGCCTCGCTGCGGGCAGG